GACTGGATGGCGTCCGCAAATTTGCAACAAATAAACATTCGATAATCGCCCACGACATATTCGTCGGTGAATAAAATACACGATTTAGTGAAAAGTGCCTGTAATATCCTTTATGTTTATCATTAAAACGCAACGGCAAATTGTCTGAGGTAGTATTCGCCAATTGCAGGATAATCAACCAAGACTAGATAAGAACTGATTGTTCTATTTGTTGACCCTGACGTATTCATATCCCGATCGAGTTTGTATCATTAATATAATTATTAATTTACTGGTCAATTGTATTCAACCCAGGGAGTTCCGTTTGTCATAAAGCCAAATAACACATCATATTAGCGATAATTTATTGAACGTTCTGACTTTCTGTTTGCTTTTTGAAATGAGCCCATGATTTTGAGCCAATTGCAGTACTCGTATTTGAGGTTCTACACGGTCCCAGGACATCAAGAATACAGTTAAATGTTACCACAGTATCATAATCTCGTATTAGAAGTTGAATAGTCGTCTTGCTGTAGTGTTTCTATTCAATATATGCCTTGCACAAATGTCACTGCAGTTAAAAACACGGTGAAACCAATGTATTTAAAATCCATCACCAGTCCGAGGCATTTTACTAAAAATCATGATACCATTGTTGTCAATTGAAAGTGTGGGAATAAATACTATAAATATACTCATAGGAACTTTGTTACTGGCAGTAATCGTCTTAAGAGAGGAAAGCGCAAAAACTCTATTTTAGCTCAGAATTTCCAGAAAAAAATAAGTTGCAAAAAGGGAAGAATACCCCGAAAAAAATATGTCAGCAACTCAATATAATGACATTTGACACTCATTCCCAATTTGAGGATGAAATGTTGAATGATGTTGCTGAATAATATCCCTTTGAAATCATCAGTATTATCATTGAACTGTAATTTCACTGTATTACTATCTATGTTTTCTAATATAAGTATTATTGTCAAGAAAACACTGCCTAATTGAAAGTATTGCATTTTAGGAGTACATATACTGTACTTTACATACACTGATGTTAACAGCACTGGCAAGTTGGTCTACCAACTTTTCATCAAGGCCACAGGCTTTTAAGAGTTGATATTTCATTTGTCTAAAACATTATTTGTGGGTATTTATAACACTACACACTACTGAGGCAAACAAATAACTTGCTCCGCGGATTTTAAATGACTTGTATATTTTATCGTTTGGAGTGATATTCTGCTAAAATCTGTTAAATGTTTTTAGATATTGTATAGGGAAAACATTTTTTCTCACTACCGTCGGGCGGAGCTATTAACCCCCCCCCCCCAAAAAAAAATTCCACACTACAAAAACGAGAACACCTTTTACTCTAAACATGTCTTCGGGATTTTGAATCAAATCGCCAACTTTCAGAATAAAATGAAGTGCAATTAAATATAAGCTGTGGTACTAATTTAATGGGTATGTACAGAAATCCCTATTTTCCCTTTATTACTCAAGCTACAGAATTTGGGCACCTTATCAAATACGTATCTATATAGAGTGATTTTTTGATTGAGGAAATTGGAGAAACTCACCTGTTCATTTTTGAGTTAGTATATACTCTCTTTCTAGGCTTACGTACATTCTTTCCTCCTACGCTATAGTTTATAACACGATTTACTACCATTGGTATCTATTTATACCATTTCCTGTCCAAGTGGAAATGACTGATGAAATACATAATATTATCATCATAGTAGGAATATCCAAAATCAACCGAATTGTAACGCAAGAAGACAGAATATAAGGCATTGCTGCGATGGAGTGGCAACTTATTTCTACTCAACTCTCGACCAACTTCAAGAAGAAGCTACACCATTTGCAAAGGTAAGTATTCTTAATTTGTGTTATGTTTTTTTTTATTTCTGAATAATCATTAAACAAAATTGAATTTATTATTACAATATTGAAACATGCATCCTAAACTTAAATAAAAGATATATAACTTGAAATTGTTTTAATGAGCTTAACTCTTACTTGATCGATGTTACAAACCGTTTGGTTTCTCATGACACTTTCCGACTATTACGCATGCCTCGTATAGTATCAGGTACTCACTGTGGATTAGTTAATAATGCAATAGCCTCTATAAGTAGTGTTTGTAACTCGGGAGACAAATAGATCGTAATCACTAATATTTTAAACAGCGAATACAGGAAACTCTTTCTATTTCATAAACCAATTTGCCACACGTACACACCACTTTCAACCACTTTTTGTAAAATTACCACCAAACTGTTAACGCATCTACAAACTCAGTGCCCAATAATGATCAACGGAATCGTTTTCAATAGTCTCAGAATTTCTAGTAATTTGTTCTTTAAAAAAAGAATTATTAACCTTTGTGTACACTTTTGTGGATGGTGTACAAATAATCACTGACCACCGAGCAACGCCATGCATACACTTCAGTTGCTCGGCCGACCCTCTTATACGTGTATAAAATATTAACTTATACCAACACGCTGCACTGAATAGTAGTATACTGTTTTATGAACTATTAACGAAGTTGTGATTTGTAGCCGATAACCGCTGCATTCCGTTTTGACACTTTAAATGTAGCGTATAACTTTATAATCAATACACAATAACAATAAACGTAAATGGTGAAGTGTTTGCTACTATGTAATCTTTTGATTTATGTGGGTTTTCAAAACTATATTGCGTATACTTTAAAATAAGCATGTCTATCAAAATCCTGCTTTCAGATGTATGTTACACTATTCCAAATATTGGCAATCGCTCCCATGGTGCATTTCGTCTCTGTAACAGAAGCAACACATTTAGTGCATAGCGCACTGAGACGACAGAGTGTGTGCGGACAGAACGTTGATTTTTGTCAACAGGTGGTTGGCGATAATGACTGGTCAGTTGAAGTACAGTCTCTTCGTAATAGATATGTACGTACGTTTATTCCATCTTTCAAATGTTCAATGTCGCATGAAGTTATGCCATATCATCCTTTCTTGATAAACAAAACAAAATCTCAGAATTCGAATGATTTATTTTAGGCATTTAGACATAACAAAACGCCACAAGGAACAAGTTCTGGGATTTTGAAATACAACGTTGATAGAGATTGCTACGAACGTATGGATGTGAGTATACTATTTACTAATTTCAACATTTATTTATTCTGTCAAGCGACAACATATATTTTAAACTCTTAACAACTCCAGATGATATGTTTGTTATTAATAGTTCAAATTAGGTGATTGATTTGCGTTGTTTTATTTTGTTTAAAGAAAGTTAATCAAGTGTGGGTTCATCAGTGTGAACTGGTTGAGTTATTGCCGTGGGTAGCTAGGATAGCAATTGATGAGGATGGTAGGACCCAAAACATGAGACATGAAGTGTTGTCCCTTATAGCACCAATAAATAATACAGTCAATCTAATCCACAACTTTGTAAGTATGAGAACAAACTGTAACAATGTCACAATCGTTACTTCAATTCACTTGTAATATAATATTCAATGTAATCGATCGATTTCGAATGAATTGTTAACCTACACCACGGCGTGAAGAGAGTTGACTATATCACCGCACACAATCAATGTGATTCCGAACTTACAAAATATTGTCAATGGAATATTTTTGAATAAATGTGTATAACATTATTAAGAAAGGCGAGATCATTAAGTAAA